TTTAGTCGCTGTCACCGGCGTGCTTTGGACCCTATGGTCCGAGGTTCAAGCCCCGCCACCCAACTTTGGTGGTAGGCAGCTCTGCTGTCGTCCGGTTCAATACCACGCCTAACCTATCGGGGCCTGCCTGCCTTTCCCCTAATGTTCGTTCAAAAAAGGGGAAGCCGAAAGATAGCAACCAAAACCGGCGCACGATAGTGCATGGTTAATGGTTGTACAAACTGAAACTGAAAACTATCGGGGCTTTGTGTGGTTCGCTACTCCAAGTCCTAGGGCTTAGGTTGCCGGTTTCCACCACTGAGCAGCAGGTCCTCGTGACTATAGGGTTCGCCCCCTCTGCTGTTCATCCCACTTAGGTGTGTAATAAAAAAACCTCCTTAAAAACAACGTTCCGTATTGGTTTCATTCGTTATCATATTAAAAACGGCTGTTTGTATGACGGAATTCGTATATTTCCGGGCCCGATGTGATTCGTTGTTACAATTGAGTGGCCAGTGCACGATTGCTAAAGTAAGCCCCCTCAAGAAAGGTCTGTTACATGATTACTGGAACCGACCAATAAAAACCGCACCAGCACAGATTGTGCACCAATAAGCTACTCCGACGTGTACAGCCACGAGAGCACTAACGGTTCGTAACTTGACTCGTTAGATATACCGGTCGCATCGTTTAACATGGGTTTTGCTAACACTGACCGTGATTAGTTGTCAGTAATTGTTTACCAATAGTTTTGCTTGTCTCAGTACCCAATCGTAAAACGCAGTAAAAAAAGGCACAACGAATTGTAATAAATCTGTGGTGACTCTAAATAGTGTCGTCCTCAGGTTCACTAAAAGCTTCATAAGCTGTTCTCAAAAACATCTTCCTCTCTCGATGCAGGCTGTGATCCTTCTTCACAGATTTCTCGGCACATTAAGGATTGAAATAAAATGCTTTCTTCTGGTCAATTGATGACGCACTTAGCTGAGTGAAAAGGCATATCATCTTGCTGAAAGCATGTCCTCCGACATTCTGGATCAGGCACTGCAGATGTACGGCAGCAACGTAGCCTAGGATATCACAAGATACGCACACGAATCATGCTTGTCCAGTAGGAACATTAGCTTGTCTGTGCTTTCGCCAGGCAATCCACGTCACATATAGACCTTGATAAGTTCTTGTTGCCCCTTTTGGTGGTACTGATTAGGGCTTGTTACCACCCAAGCCGGTTCCAAAACAATCCCTTACAGTGCGCCACATAAAATATGATCTCGTCCGAGAAAAAGTGTCACTACATAATGTTGATTGCGTTTCGAGAAGTTCGGCGAACCATGGACAGAAATCCATGAGCCCAGAAGAGTCATAAAACCACAGTGTGTACCGGATGACCTTTAAAACTTTTGTGACCTCGGGGCCGCAAAAAGCGGTGCACTGTGCTGTGCGCCATTCCTAATACCACTGAAACCCGAGGACCAAACGTTCAGTTCAGTTTTTCAAGCATTAGCCATGCACTTTCGTTCGCCGGTTCTGATTGCTGTCTCGTGACTGCCCATTTCGTTAAAAGAGCAGAAGGAACAATAGAAAGTTCCAAGCAGTTTCACAGGCAATTCACATCGACTAGAATTTCAAGGATGATTAGTAGATGCACGAGTGCCACTGTTTGTGTCTCTAACCACCTGTTACCATTATCCCGAGGTCCCCATCCAGAATGTCTAACGCGGCCTATATGACTGAGTCTTCTAGTCAGGATTTTCATATTCTCATGTCAGGTCATTGTTTCACCGCCCTTGACCGTTTTCCAACCCAACACCTGCCTCGGCAAGCGGCACGCACCGTGGCAACCTGTTTGGTGACATGTGTAACACATGCCCCAACCAACGTAACCCATAGAGGTCGACCACTTGCTCTAGTGGACGACCGTGGCTACTTAAAATTCTGCACCTAAACTCAGCGTTGCTTGTCCGGTCTTCCCACCAGAATTGAGCAATGCGACGTAAACAGCGGTGTTCACACACCGACAGTCTGTCTTTATCCTGTTCCCGTAATAGCCAAGTTTCTGCCCCGTATAGCAGAACTGGCCGAACTGTTGCAGCATATACTCTACCCTTCACTGACGACCGGAGGTCACGACGGCGCCACAGATGTCTTGGTTCGGCAAATGCCGATCAAGCCTTCTGTATGCGTACCGACACCATCCGTAATGCGTCCACCGAGTGAGATGTAGCCGCCCGCATAGCAAAATTTGTTCAGTACCTGAATTGCTGGACCAACCCAACCCTATAGTAGTATTTTACACCGTGAAGGTGCAAAACGCATGTGAAACGTAGATACACTAGCACTCAAACTATTCAGGAACGCTTACAACTTACCTGGATCTTCACTTGGCAATGCAATGTTTTCTGCATACTCCAGATCAGAATCTGCCATCTGGAAGTAAATCTCTACCACTATCCTGGCACTAGGACAGGGCTGTTTCTGTAATCAAATCTATAACAAACTTCAATAGAAAAGGAAATGGAGGGAAACTCTGACGAACACCACTTTCCGTGGTGAAATCGGGCGAAAAATTACCGTAGGCTCGAACTCGACTTCCGCTATTAATACAAACAGATCGCAAAATTGGAATAAACTTCTAGGCACACCCTTCAGGTTAAGGCAGCACCAGAGTTTCGAACAGTCGACTGAGTCAAAAGCCGCTTTCAAATCGAGGAATATAGAAATGATGGGTTTACAAAAACGTGCCTGTGTTCTACTGCTTACATTGTATTGTGGGCACTCGTTCCCGGTGGCTTTTTTGCGGTTGTTTACCAGGCATAGAGAAGATCTGGCTTGTAGCAGAGCTTTTTCCTTGTCCACGGATGTTCACCTGTGATAGCCGCAGTCTTCAATGGATTCTCACCAGCGGTAGCTGTTGGCAATGTAGTCGATCTGATTTCATTGCTGTAAAGAAGTAGGGGATTCCAAGTAAGGCGGGGCTTTTTCTTGTGACAGAATTTGGTGCTTGGTAGAAACAATACGTGGCCCGCGCAGAGTTGAATTAGTCAAAGACGTTGAAGGGCATTAGTATTGCTACCAAAAACAGTCATCTGTCCAAACGTGAACAACGCCCAGCCAAAAGGCGGTGGTATAGTTTCTTCGAGGAATTCGGGCGATCCGGATAAAGTAGACCGAATTCGCCGCATACGTAACGAAAACCTCTATATTTAACAAACAAGCTGCATCACATGCGCGTTTTACAGTGGCATGTTCCAAATAAACTGGTCTGAATAAAAACATAACCTCATGCGTATCATGGTCACATATCGCGGTTAATAAATCAATCAAATTGCATACCCGAGCGATTCGAACTCAGCAGTCGCATTCGCTACATTCACTCTATTAACTGAATTCTTGTTCATCGTAAGACAATGATCGTTGTGAGGCATGGTCATCGCGCCTGATGCACACCGCTCTGTGGTCCCATTGAAACAAATGCCACATGGTAGACTTGTCTCAGTTATTCCACGGGGATATTGATCACCGGACATTATTCACCTTGTTGCGACGAAAATAGTCTTGGAAGCTCTTTTACCTGGTCGTATGACCGAATGGGAACCAATGTCTTTCCTGAGAACTCACAGACACATTAAGAATTAAGTTTGCCAGTCAGGTTACAAACCAGATCAGTGGTGCCCTGATCAAGCGATGCGCAAGGTGAATTTCCTAAATCATCAATAACTACTTCACAATTGAAAGTAGGCAGTCGTGCAGTTGTGCTAAATAGCGCTGTTCTCTATTTGTGCAAAACCCGTGTTGAGCTATACCACCGATATACACAACGGGTCCAGTTATGAACCATTCCTTTTCTCGTGATTACACACGGCAAACAGTGTTTTTCAATCGGTCACATTTAAGTCATTGTGTTTCACAGCGTTCCTTCATCTGTGTCAGAAACCTTGATGAAGCACAAATAGGTGAACATGAGCAGTTTGTACTGGTAACACCGATGGAAGGGGTCTTGAGAATGACCACAGGGAGTGGGAGGCAGATCTAGACAAACGAATGACCAAGGAGAGTTGAAGAAAAAACAGTCCAAAATCATTCAGCTTTCGACAGCATCACTCATCGTCAATAACAGTTGAGAAAACTCTGTGACAAAAGTCAGCTGGCAATGAACAGTAAGGAGCGGCAACTTGATTGTCGGACGGGCAACGGTGTTTGGCAAAGTTATCTTGGTAGGAAAAATTTAAGTCTGATGAAAAGTCTTATGACTAACTTCTAAAGTGATAATTTTGTTTCGCCTTCTGACTTAGTTTCCGTTTTATCATACCTCTTCTGTATTTGGTGGTGATTTGTCATACCCATTGACTCTGACAGTGATTGAATAACTGGAAGAATTACGTCGTCCGTCAAGATTATCTGAATGTTGTTTTAGACACTGCTGTATCGAGTTGTGTTCTCTTTAACCCTATAGTATCTACTCACTGTTGTTCGCTTCCAATGCGGTCAGCGTGATTTCAATGATTGATTTAATTTTTTGTTGACCTTTCGTTATTGTGTGCTACATCCCTGTTTGGTTGTTTTCTCTTCCCACAGGATTACTTTGATTATCGGAATTTCCGTTACCTGCGCTTGGATGGTACTACTCGATCAGAGGATCGTGGTGGCCTATTGGTTAAATTTAATGATGCATCCGAGGATATCTTCATCTTCCTTTTGTCCACTCGTGCAGGTGGATTGGGGTTGAATTTACAAGCCGCAGACACTGTCATAATCTTCGATTCAGACTGGAACCCGCATCAGGATCTGCAAGCTCAAGATCGAGCCCATCGTATTGGACAGCAAAATGAAGTGAGTAACCTAATTTGTTTGGGGTGGGGTGGGACCATGGATTTACATCATTCCTGGCTGCCTTGATACTGAAGATGTTCTCATACGTTGATTGATTTAAAACCAAGTTATTACCCCTAAGATCTCCCTTGATTTTTGCGAATTAGGCAGCCCCGAACGATTGGTCAACTTGCTCATGGTAGGTAGTTTATTTTAATATTACAATCGTTTTATACTAATAGCCGAAGCCGAGTTCGAGCTTACGGCACTTTTTCACCAGGGTTCACTACAGAAATTGGTGTTCGACAGGTCTGNATTCTTGAAACAGCCGTATCCTCGTGAGAGAATAGCGGCATCGATTTACTCCCAGGTGGCAGGCTGTCTGATCTAGAATATGCAGACGACATTGTGCTACTAAGTACAGATCCATGTGAGATAAAAGCTTTTCTGTATAGTTTGAGTGCTATTGTAGCCATGTTCGGTATGCGTTTTGCACCTTTAAAGTGTAAAATGTTGCTCCAAGATTAGGTTGGTCCAGCCCCCAGCCTCATCCTGACTGGGGAAGTAGTAGAGAAAGTGAACAAGTTTGGCTACCTGGGCAGCTATATCTCAACAGTTGAGCGCATCACAGATGAAGTGTCGGTGCGCATACAAAAGGCTCGGTTGGCATTTACCAACTTGAGACATTTGTGGTGCCGTCGAGTATATGTTACAGCAGTTCGGCCACTCCTGCTCCGTGGTGCAGGAACTTGACCACTGCGGGAACAGGACAAAATTAGATTGTCGCTGTTCCAACACTGCTGTCTACGTCGCATCGCCCGATTATGGTGTGGTAACCGGACGAGCAACGCTGAGGTTAGGCATAAAGTTTTAGGCAGTTGCGGTCGTCCACTGGAGCAAGTGATCGACCTCCATAGATAACGCCTGTTGGGATATGTGCTACGCATGTCACCAAATAGGTTGCCACGGCGAGGGATGTTTGCTGAGGTGTTGGGTTGGAAAAAGGTCAAGGGTGGTCAAACGAAGACTTGGCATGAGAGTATGAAAACCCTAACCAGGAGACTAGGTCACGTAAGCTCCCCGCCTAGGGACCACGAGATGATGGTTAGCGAAATGACTGGGTGTCGCAAACAGTGGCGCTGGTTCATCCACTCATTATTCTCCTAACACCATTCTAGGCGAGTTCCTCATCTTTCGCTTGAATTTGCTTTCAACAGTCCGTTCTTCATTCTACTCTTATCCAAATGGGCGGCCAAACGATAGCAACCAAAACCGGCGCACGAAAGGGCATGGGTAATGGTTTTAAAAATTAAACTGAAGTGAACTGAATATAGTTGGTCAGGTTCATTTTCACGATAAATTCTTATTTATATTTGTTTGTGGGTTTTCAGAATTGCAACGTTACTATTAGTACCTTCGGTGCTTGTTCGTATTATGGTGTTCATCGTATTATCAAGCCTCCAAGATCAGATCACGCACTCCAGGTTTTAAATTGCGTGCTCACACTTCTTTTTGGCCCACCTCGTTTACGCGTCTGTGTTTGAATGAGTTGTTAACTTGCCCTTCCCTACACATATCTTGTTCTCAGGTTCGGGTGCTCCGTCTGATCTCCATTAACTCAGTTGAAGAAAAAATCCTTGCTGCGGCACGGTTCAAATTGGATGTCGATCAGAAAGTCATTCAAGCTGGTATGTTTGATCAAAAGTCCACGGGCACAGAACGTCGTCAGTTTCTGCAAGCCCTACTCGAGCAGGACGAAGAAGCAGATGAAGAAGAGGATGAAGCACCGGATGATGAGACCATCAATCAAATGTTGGCTAGAAATGAGGAAGAATTCGAGATTTATCAGAGAATGGATATGGAACGTCAGTTTGCCGAAAGCCAACAAGCCAGACAAGAGCAACGACTTCTGGAGTATTCGGAACTTCCCAATTGGATTATCCGGGATGAAGTTGAGGTTAGTAGTTACGTATCATTTTAGTGCGTGCCTGATCACATTCAATCATCTACCTGAGACAAACGATATGCCAGCCTTGCAGTGAAACGGAATATAAACAATTCGGTCTGGGGCATATGTTTACGCGCTGTCCGTGTTTCACGCCACATATGCATGCAATATTGGATCAGTGCATCGGTTGAACGTGCAGTTGATAAAGAATCCATTCAACGCTCCTCTAAACAGAACAATCGACTCCTAACTGATGGTCATATATATATATGTCAAAATGTATGCGTAAAACCTTCACAGGAACCAAACCAAATAAAATTGTTTCAGGAGACTAACATGTACTCGTCCATAAACTGTATCGTAAATTAATGCTTACACTTTACAAACATATATATGTATTTATGACTTAATCTTTATCTTAATCTTTGTGTCTCAAGAAAAGTTAAATCTTATGATTCCCTCTGCTTAGCTAACATTCGAACAGTATGCAATCAGTATTCAACCGCTTTTCAGTTTCAGGTGTTTATTTTTCCAAAAACTGTTTACCTATCCCGGGAGGTAATTTTTCTAATCCAGTCACAAAAATTCATTTCTGAATATTATCCTATTCGATCGCAATACAACGGTGACCATAGAATTGAGCGCAACGCCTTTGGCTATAATGACATGACAAAAATAGGACAGTACACCGGTCAAACCAGATCGTACCTACCTGATCTAATGCTGAATTCTTTGACTAGAGTAATGGCGTAATCGAAATGTCTGTTACAGGATATGCGAAGTACATTGACTTCCCCGTATTCTAAGCTCCCATCATTTACTGCGCACTCTGTTCATGCTTTTATGGCAAAATGTGTACCACATGTGTTGTTCTCGTTACATACCGACATCGATCGGTCGGCCAGCGTTGGTCGATATCAGTACCACTATTATTAGTCATGACGTTAGTGACTGACAAAGCTCAACACGTGATAGTGTTCATGGAATAGAAGTGCATCGCTAAAACGCGGTAAGGGCTTGTTAGTCCCAGGTCGTTATTGTTACGATAAGCATTGGTCACTAACCTGTCCACTTTTCTCATTACACTAACAAGGACAACTGCGACTATCATTCACCCACTCGCACAGCCGCGTCCATCAATCAATTGGAAACACATGTTACTTCACTGCCCCGCTTACCGGCTAGATGAATCGTGATTATCGTTCAGCTGTTTATACAACTACGTTGGTGCAACAGAGCCCATCGGCTAACTGAATTTCGCTCCCATCAACGGAAGTAATCTTATGACCGTGACTTCGGTGACCATTTCAAACAAAACAACAGTGGCGAACAAGCTCGTTTTCAGAGATTCGTATTCATGCCAATACATCTCAATATATATCACTACTTGGGAATAAAATTGTCATGGGAAAATAAAATAAAAACAGATTACTAAAACCGAATTCATCGTGAGACCGGAAATCGGGTTCACCACGATCACGTTTGTTTGTCCACTCATCCGACCATCGAGATTACTCACGATGCGGTTTGAATGGGGGGG